TACAAAATCAAAAATATTTCAACTTTCGTTTTTCTTTTAAAGAAATACCGCCTCTAATGTATTTATTTGATTGCTTCTTAATTTTCTTTTCATGTGCTGTACCGTATGTTGAATTACATAGATTTGCCGAATATTTCAAAACCGAATATTTCAAAAAATTGAAGAATTCTGTATTTCTTGTTCTATTAATTATAGCGACATTATCATACATTTGATTTTCGAAAAATTACATCATTTTATGAGCACACAAAACTCAACAAACTTTGGTATTGTTCAGATCTTAAATAAAGTTTTCATTGGCCGAAAAATATTAAATAAAGTACCATGAGAAAAAAACAGAAGCTAATTTTTCTAGTAAAACAATTATTATGACAACAAATTCCACTGTCCCGCAATAGTGTTTAGAACACCTTGTATATGTGTTGGAAATTCTTGATGAGATCCCCCATTCTTGACACAGTTTTTGGTTTAAGCCGAACAAAACTTAATTACTAGGGGATCTCCACTAAAAAATGAACAAGTGTCCGTTTTCAGAATAAAACGTCTCACAAATTTGCAAGGCCTCAAAAGTTCCCGAAACAGTGGAATATTCTAAACTCATCCTGTTGGGCTGAAACTTTTACTGTTGGTGTCGCAGCGCGGGTCTGCAGACTAGTGTTAAAAAGAAAAATATTAAGCGACTAATATTAAAAATCGATTAAATATTTTTCCACCTTATTTAAATAATAGTTCGTTCAATATTTTTCCTTTATTTTAAATAACTAAATATTTTTCTATCCTAGGCGAAAAACTTCAATATTTTTCGATCTTACAATAAGAAAAATATTTATTAGTTCAGATAGAAAAGTATTTAATTAAATTAGTCGTTTAATATTTTTCTTTTTAACTTTTTTCGGTATACCCCGCAGCGCATATCGCCCTCAGTGCTTGTATTCTTTTAACTGTTGTTTACTTCTTACTTATGTGGTTTTATATCAGAAATCATCCAAGCAAACAGTATAATTTACAGCTAAACGTTTCAAATATAACTGTTCGACGATGTAGAGTATTTTATTAATTCCAAATTTACCTTACGATGGACTCTTTAGCAAGGTCCAAACGCGTCATGGTTAGGTAGACTCACCACTACGATAAAGATATCTACGATAGTTTTAAAAAGTTATCTCTTCAAAGAAAATGGAATCGGCCTTTATTCGCTTTCTGCTGCAGCCAATGCTCTCTCCATTGTTTCAATGCTTCGACGCAAATTAGCCCTTTTCTGCTCTAGCAATGGCGACTCCTTCATCCACTTCAAGAGTTCTGCAGGGGTAAATGCTGTATTTAACTTTCCATCGAGGATCAGCACACCGTTGCGAATGAACCAGTACTCGCAAAGTTGAGACAGATGATCGACAATACGAGCGTGGACAACGGAACAATAGGCTCGAAGGCCAGTCAAAGCATCTGCAGACGCCATGTTGTCACTCGATGCTTCGGCCGCTTTTCGAGCTTCTGCTACAAACAAAACAGTAAGGGCAAATTTGTATTCATGCATTAATGAAGATTTGACTGACTTTCGCTGGTTTTCATATTCTTAAAGATCGCCATGTAGTACGGATTGACAGTAAAGACCTTCTCTTCCATTTTTAACATCTGCTCGACGTTTTCCATGCACTTTTCTTTACTGTTTTCTATAACACCTTTGATTATTTTATTCAACTCACGGGACAAAGGCACTTTATAACTCGCCTCTGCAGGTAAAACTGTCTCCAAAATATAAGCAAGACAACTGGTCATGTATTGTTCGACCCAAACAACCAGAGATTTGCAGGGCGTTTCAAGTTTTTTATGATACGGCTGATACAGCTGTTGAATAATATTGGACGATGGAAAATTCGGTAAACCACCGCCATAATTCTCCTCGATTGATTGCAACACTTTGGCACCCTGATTTTGTGAAGAAAAACTCGATAAAATCTTATGAATCTCATTCGAAGCCCATTTTCCGATCATCTTAAGATGATAGGCGATTCGATGATCCCATTTATCACGCGCCTGCGGATCGAAAGCCTCCGTCACTTGGTCAGATTTGATTTCGTAGTCTCCTTTCGCACGTTGTTCAACAGCTGTACGATAGTTTCGGAGAATTTCGTTGAAAGCAATTCTCGTGTCCGTTTCCGTCAAAATCGCTGCTGGAATCTGTTTAAGTTCTTCTCGTTTCATTTGAATTTTTTCTTTGACTCCTTCGATCACTAGTGGCAGCGTAAATCGAATTCTATCTTGTTGAATCGAAACTAATTTTTTGATTAATTCTCGGCTACCTAAATATTCTTTAGGTACGTCAGCGAAGGCTGGATTGGTTTGAAAGAATTTTTCTTCTCGTCGTCTCATTTCTTCAAACGAAACTTTTGCATCGATTTCCTCTTGTTTACGATTGAGAACAGCAACGCACCCCAACGAGAGAGAGAGAGATCCAGGTCCTATTCCTTGCAGTTTTTCTGCGATGCCTTTGTCGTGTTTATCGATTTTCGATACGGCGATGATTTGTCGTTCATCTAGAAAAATCAATCAGTAAAGATTCGATTTCATCGAATACGATTTTCATACATGCCGGATCGTATCGTTGACAAATTTGGATCGATTCTGATGTTGTGAAATCGACCGATGATGGAATGACGTGCAAAACAATCGATGATTCAGACTGGACACACACTTCGATCAGTGAAACGATATCACGATAAATTGTTGGCGACTGACCGTTCACTTGAGTGCGAGTAATTCCTGGAGTAAACCAACAAAATTCGAATTTTTCTCTTTAATCAACAGAATACTGACCTGGTAAATCAATCAATGTTAAATCGTCTTGAATCTCCCGTTTATAAACAGTGAGAAAAATGGGCGATGATGAAATATTGACCAAGTTACCTGTCAAGAAGTTCGTGCATTCGATCACTTTGGTAGAAATCTCTGAGAGATCATTGATGCTCACTTCGTCGATTCCAGAGCATCGAATCGTCGCGTAATCCTCCGAATCAGACGGGGCGCATTTCATACGCAATTCAAGTGGACAGCGTGTGCAAATATTCTGTGCTCGTGGTAGTTCAACACCGCTGATAGCCTCGAGTATCGACGATTTTCCTACCTAAACGAGAGATTTCCGTGTTGATCTGAAACACCAACCAATCTGACCTACCGATTGATCGCCAACAACAACGATTTGTGGAAGTGAAATCTTTTCCATTTGCAAGATCTCTCGCATTGCGTCAACTTTCTTTAGCAGTTGACGACACTCTTCGGAGTTAATTTCCTTGTTGATCATGGCAATCGGATTGTAATTATTCACTGATGATGATGAATCCAATACACAATTTGCTTCATCATATTCTGATGTGACATTCGATAAGTTATGCTGTTGATTATTCATCCTTCTCCACATCGTTTTTCGCTCACTAGAATCACTAATTAACTGAATATTTACATGGGATGATGACTAAAAGAGACTGGCGGGTCTCTGAAAAACCGTTCTTCTTTTTACAGAGGTGTCACGTTATAGCATCGTCTCGTCTTTCTTACGTGACTAAAACGTTGCAAATTCGCCGAAACAAGTTACAAAAGAGAACGAGGCTGATAATCTTATTCAAAATCTGTTTTCCCAGTAGCTTTTAGTCGCTCGTTACCTGGAGTCGTTGGCTCACCTGGAGATAATAATAGCGTCACTTTTTCAAAGAATGTTGTTGTTCTGCATTATTTTACTTTACGATCGGTCTCTACAGCGTGATGGAGTAGCTTTATTTTCAGAAAGCACTATAAAAAACCCCGCGATTGGCTGATTTTTCAACTTAAAAGAATCTGAGTGGTCGAAAGCGCGATATCAAAAAGTACGGATTGGCTGATTTTTCAGTCCAAAAATTGTAATGTTTTACATCTTTGTGTTGTTTTGACCTCTGAGCCTGGCACAAACACACAAACTCTTTTTAGTTTTTTTCATAGGACCCTCTCTTCGGTCGAGGGGGATAGGGGCATATAGGGTATACAGGAGTATAAAGACTGGCTAAGAAATCCTGACTGGATTCGAGTAGTAAATTGTTCTACAGTAAAACACGTGTTTGTAAATTTGTCTTAGGATGAAAATACAAGAGGGAAACAGCGGAGACTTTGCTCATGCAGTCTGATTAAGTCTTGAAGTCCGCTGTTTCTTCCTAGAACTATCAATTATATAATATTCAAGAACAACCTCAACTCTATTGAAATGATCTTTAAAAAGAATTTTCCGTTCAGGATGTCCGTAAGTTGATTTGCGGAACGACTGAAACCAGGCAAGGTAAAAAAAAAAGTTTTTTCTGTTGGATTTCAGTTATGCTAAACGGTGTTGTGAAGATCTCAAGAAGTTTACTACAAAGTCAGGGTCAGTTTTTACTAGCTAGTGGAAAGAAGATGAAGTGGAATGATAGAAAATGGTCATAGCGATTAACTTCCTTTCTTAGATGCTACCAGGAATACTCGGGATTTGGAAACCAGGAATACTTTGGAAACAGTTTTGCTAAGAGTATCCTTTCATTAGAATGTTAAATACTGAAGATGCGACAAATCATTTTTTCTACAATCTAACTGTAGACTAAACAGAGCAAAAGAAGGAGCACTCCTGAATAACTGATTTTTGAGTTTGTATGGATGTTAACTTAAAAACACAGACGAAGAAGACTGCCTTATGAGTTTTCTATTGTAATATATTTATTCTGTTCGTCATCCTAGCCTAATACTTACAGAATGAAATATTTGTACTTGTAAATGAGTGAAAATATGTATTGAACGACGACAATACTAATGACAGAATCGATAATTGTATTTTATCTGAAACAAAAATAGACATATGTATTAAAGATAAATTCTTTATTCATTTGTATCCTGCGTCTGAATCTTAGATCAATGACATAGTTGGTCTGAATTCTAACATAGGTTGTAAGGATCGATCATTGTGTTTAGATCACCATAAAGGAGAACAGGGAACAGCTAGTGCTACACGCTTTCTCTTGTTATCAATTAGTTTATACAACAAAGAAAAGCTGTAGGTTATATGTAGGTTATTGGTGAATTAATTATCAAAAAATTGGAAATGCGGGTGTTAGACAAGAAAAGAACCGAAAACTCTTCATTCTCTAAATTATATAAAAAGAAAAAAATGAGATCAAGGATTCTCCGTTGCAACCTTACTTCCACTATTTCAGTTGTTTTACGTACATTTTAGAATATTACCCAGCGACAGCTGATGAAATGAGAGAATGTGTAATATGCTTACTTTTTTATACTACTCTTATCATCGTCAACTACTACTTTCTCTAATGCCAGAACAATTTATCTAGCAACTTATGATATACATCTATTAGATGAAAAAGAAACGAAAACGACTTTACATACTCTGTCTCATTGATAAGAAATAACAACAACCGTTCTCCCACATCGGTAAAACGACAGTAACTCATTTTGTTTCACTGATAAGTGATAATAATAATAACGTGTGTAGTTTGGGCCATATGAAAAAGAACTCATCCAAACCTTCTTATGGGCGCGGACAACACTGCGCTTTGCCCTTATCATAGTGGATAAAATCCTTGCTTGCGCAACACAGGTATTTTGTTTTTTGTGACTCAAAGGTACACGATTAGACTCAGTATTTGATGGTATATCTGAATATATCAAATAAATTTGATTGGCTAGGAACTCTTCCATATCGACCAGTCAGATTTCAGGAAGGGTTTTCTTCACTACTATAAGAACAAAACATAGTGTGGCCCGCGCCCATAAGCAGGTTTGGATGAGTCCTCTTTCATGTGGCCCAAACAACACATGTTTTGTCCTTACAATAGTGGAGAAACTTCCAGCATAGTGATACCTTTTCTTCCATGGTTATACTATGCAGAGCTTGATAAGCAAATTGGAGTACTTTATTGTAATAATCAATATCATAATTCAAGAGGAGGAGGACCAAAACCCAAATCCAAAACTACTCAAAACCGCGAACTGCTTCGGAACCCAAATTGCAAAATCCGAGAGTTTTAGTGTTAGTACATATCTATATGTATCACACCATATTTTGCGGCGAACTGTTAATCGAATTTTTATGTGCGTGTAGGCTTGTTGCAAGAGAAAAAAAGCGCAGAAACCTGGAATCTACCGGAGTCTGACAGAATTCTATGGAATCCTGAATTCCAAGATTCCATGAATTTCGTCGAATTTTGTACGACACCATAGAAAATCCATAAATTCCAGAATTCCGCATTTTTCTTCTGCACAGATGGCGTCCTTCGACAACTTTCGAAGCATAGTGATAATCATGAGGCGTTTCAGAAACTCCAGGGGAATCCTATGGAATCCTCGGAATTCAGGATTGCAGGATTCTGCGCTTTACTTATTGGCTTAGTGATGCTGTGCGGACGCAGGTGCAACTGACGACAGAACCTTTCAAGGTGATTAAAAGCTTTTTGATCGACAGCTAGTGGGTTATAGGTTATCGACCATGCTGATTTCGAATATGATCATGGGACTGGCCCATAGCTCTTCGAATATCCAGTCTTCTGAAAACCAGTTTTTTAGAAATCCCAGAAAATAACCCAAGTCTTTCTTAATAATGCAGGATTGTAGCGCGCAAATTTCTGATTAAAATGATACATCTCCCAGCTCTACACGATCTTTCTTTGCAAAGTTATAGAATTTATAAGAAGAGCCCTAAATTGTTCATTGTCAGCTCAAAGCTACAGAAATAAAAAGGAAAAATTAATTTAGGGCTTTTCTTATAAGTTCTATAACTTTGCAAAGAAAGATCGTGTAGAGCTAGGGGATGTATCACTTTAATCAGAGATTTGCGCGCTGCAATCCTGCATTATTAAGAAAGACTTGAGTTATTTTTTGGGATTTCTGAAAAACTGGTTTTTCAGAAGACTGGATATTTGAAGAACTATGGGCCAGTCCCATGATCATATTCGAAATCAGCATCGTCGATAACCTATAACCCACTAGATGTCGATCAAAAAGCTTTTAATCACCTCGAAAGGTTCCCTCGTGAGTGCATGTTCAAGAGCTACATGCTCGTATGAGATGAGCACAAACAGAACTTGTTTGATCCTTAATTTGAGTATATCAGTTATTGTTTTGTTTGTTACCCAAGAAGTCAGCACATATAAGCAGAAACGTGTCTCAGTGCTTAACAAATCTCGTACTGTAGTATTAATATTATGTCGAAGATCATCTCTAACAGTTTTTAGACAGTCAAGTTTTTCTTTCATTAGTGAGTTTGTTCAGTATTATAGTATGCTCCAGAAATTCCTAAAGAAATTTTACTATGGACAAAGCTAGGGAACAGTATATTATTTACGGTTTAGACACATTTGGACAAGTAAGGCATCCACATTGAGGACCTTAGTCCTTTCGCTGGAATAACTCATCAGCAATTGATTCTTTTCCGATGCTGAAAGTTTTTCGCAGACAAACAGTTAGGCTCTTTGTATCCACTTGCTGTGAGTGCTGCCAAACTTCATAAAACATAACACGACTACCACGATTGACCCTATGCAGCCAGACGAGCAGGACATTTCTTTACCGCAAAAATTCAAGGACGACGAATTTCAATATTTATAATAAACTCACGTCGATTTTCAATATTTTGCACTCTGCCAACATTCCATGGAGTAGTTGTTTCAAACTATATAAACCTGTATTCATTTCTCCAATCTTGCGAAATCTTTCGTTCTCTTCTGAAGTTACATGCGAAAGGTAGAAAGAAATAGAATCTTGCTGTTCTTTTTTGGCCACAAACAACATAGACAGCATCGAGAGTATGGCGTGATGTGAGTAAATAACAATCAGCGCAACTTCAAGGACGACGAAAATAGCTACGCGTATTGAAGTGTTGACTGAAGCATGCGGCAAACAAATGCAGTTCTTCTGAAGAAAACATCAAGTTTCTAAGGAAAGAAGATGAAGTACTGGTGAGGATACATTCACTTTCTCACGAAAAAGACGAATTACTCGAAAAATATCCATTTCCTCAGGAAAAGACATGAAGTTCTCGTGAAGAAACATAGAGTTTCTTACGAAAAAAGATGAAATTATCGTCTTTCAGATACATCGTCTTTCTAACGATGATCGTTGAAGTTCTCGTGAATAGAGGTCGAGTTTCTGAGGAAAAAACTCAGGTCGATTTTCAATATTTTGAACTGTGCCAACATTGCATGGAGTACTTGTTTGGAACTATATAAGTCTGTGTTATTTTCCTTGTGAAATCTTTCGTTTCATTCTGTATCCATGCGCAACGTAGAAAGACATAGACTCTTACCGTTCTTTGTTCGCGACAAACAACATAGATAGCATCGAGAGTATGGCGTGATGTCAGTAAATAACAACGTTCGCAATACGGGGAAAAGAGATGAA